TCCTCCTCGGGTCCAGTCGGTGTTAGCGGCGCTGGGCTCGTCCTCCTCGGACCCGGAGCTGCCCTGGCTGAAGTCGATGCGCTGCGCCAGGCGGGCCAGGTTCTGGGACATGGAGAGGGGCTGCAGGTAAGTCTCGCTGCCGTCCAGGCCCACCTCCTGCACGTGCTTCTCGCAGGCGGACTCGATGCTGATCCGCACCGCCTGGACCCCCGACATCTTCGCTTCCGTCCCGGCCGCTCCGGCGGCGCCGCTGCCTCAGGGAAGGAGGAAGGGAGGGAGGGCCGCCTGGCGAACACAGCGTCCCGCGCGCGGGGGCACGCCTCAAACTACGGGGCCGCGCGAGGGGAAAAAAGGACAAAGACGCGACCGGCCGCGCGAGCTCTGCGGGGGAGAGGAAACGCGGGCGGCCGCCGGAGGGACGAGGGTGGCTTCGGGTCTTTCCGGAAGAGCTTGGGATTCGAAGGGGCGGGGACATGAGTGGAGGCGGATGGGTGTGGCTTCGTACTGAGGCCGCAGCCCCCTTTGGTGAATCTAGTTCATTACCCTATGATTCGACGCCCCTATCGGAGGAATGGAGGCTTGTCCTCCTGGAGGACAACTCCCATAATTCTCCAAGGAGGAAGGCATGTGGGGATTCTGGGAGTTGTCGTCCCAAAAGTCCCCCCATGGATTTGCATTTCCAGTGAAACTAGGGTCCCCAGATGTTTTTGGACTGCCACTCCCAGAAACCCTGGCCAGCACAGCCAGTGGTGAAGGCTTCTGGGAATTGCAGTCCAGCAACATCTGAGGAGTCCAGTTTGAAAAACCATTGTTTCTATTCCACCAGAATGGAATGTGCTGCTTTTCCTTGTTCGCTTGCAGGTTTGCTGTGGGAAGGGGCGAGATACCTTGGAGTTTGCAAATGTCAGGTCCTCAGAATCCACAAAGGACCTTTAGCTGATTTCAGGAGGAACTCATTTTATGAGAGTCAATTCAGGGGAGTGATGATTACAAGGTTGGGATGAGGACACCGAGTCCTGTTAAACTTCACTAAAAGGTTTTGGTCCAACGTGCTCAAGTCTGCTCTACCTCACAGAGTTGTATGGAGGACAATACACAGAGGAGCACAGTTGTAGATGCCCTTGGGTGTTCTTGGTGGGATGTAAGTGTAATTTACAAATAAAATTTTACTCTGTAGCTGTTATATGAGAAGGTTGCTCCAGTCCTAACCGAGTAATAGCTTAGCTTTCTGTTGGGGCTGAAATCTTTTCCATCATAAAATTGCTGTCATTGCAAGAAGCCAATTTCATGAGGGTTATTGGTTTAATCCTATGCTTAGTATCACATGTCTTTAATAAGGTTTAATTTTATATAAAAAAGTAGATCAGCAACCAAATTTAATTGATATTAAAATTGGCAAGAACCGATTTAAACACAGGTCTATATTGTCTATATGTACAGTATTGCTTAAAGCTCAACATTGTTTAGGGCCATGTTATATCAGGGACAGTCTAAATCTTTATTGAATCTAACCAGTATCAAGATATGGTATTCAAGGTCCTATTTTCTGGTCCACAAATGAGACCGATTAGGTTAAAGGGTGTAAAGAACAGGACTTCACAGTTTAGAAATTCTCTTTCCAGAGAGATTGTGTGGTTGGACAAAACATTCATACATGCACATTTATTCCAGATAAGAGCAGAGATATTGTATGGCTCATCAAATAAATTCCAAAATTCATTTTGGGGTGAAATCTTTATTAGGCCAACCAAGAAGGCATCAAAATGTGTTCAAGCAGTCACGATCACAGGTCTCTTTAACATACAAAGTTTTGCAAAAGTAAGGGAAAAAAGGGGGGTGGGGAAGGCCTGAACTTAAGTCCTTGTAGTTTTGTGGTGATTTGAGATGTAATGATGAAGGAAGGCTTTGTAGACAGTGAATTGTGGATTGTGAAGGGATGCATAGTGTTAAGATTTCATGTGGGCTAACTCAGATTTGCTGGAACCTGGAAAAAAATTAGGTCTTTAATTTTAGAATATGCAACCACCCACAACAATCTCAAGAGATGTTTCTCTTGAGTTCATCATCTTTTATTAGTGTTAAAAAGAGAGAGCAATCAGCCAGTTTTTACAGTTGGCAAGGCTAGAGATAACTCTTAAGTAGTGGATTGGATAAAAGAAATTACTGTAATAAAAAGCCAAACTGGGTAAATTAACTATTGTGTTGAAGGGAGTGCAAATCTCACACTGAACATTTATTGCGAGCAAAAACGTTCCAAATATCCACCAACTCAAGTTTAATTTTATATGGAAGCAGAGCCTACAACATGTTGTGGTGTGGAATACTTCCTGTTCAGGATTCTATCATTCCCACACAATTTGTATGCCCTGCTCCCATCAGCTTTCTGCGGCCAATGAGCATGCTCAATTCTTCCTCTTGTTGCTTTTGTGTCTCTCCCTTGAGTATTCAAGGTGTGGAAAATGTTCAAGAAATGTAAACCTCAAACCCGCTGGCATTTTCTTGCTTATGTGTGGATGATGCCTTTTTGGCTATGTCAGGACCTGCACTCAAAAGAACAGTGATCACTGTTAGGACCTGGGAAATGTTACCTCTCCAGATGTTTTGGATGATCACTATTATAATGGCTTATCATTGGCCACAGTGGCTGAGACGTCTGGGAGCTGAAATTCAAAATACTGTATCCGGAGCGCCAAATATTTCATTGGTACATACCATGATGTCTCTTCCACTGAATATGTTCATGATTTCATGTTTCCATACTTGAGTGGGAAGCATACTGATTTCCCCCCCTGCAAGAATGACTACAAAGCACACCAAACACAACTTAGCAAATTTTATTTGTAGTATCAAAAATTAAGTCAAAAGGTTGACTCTTCAACAAATGTCACAAGTGTAAAGTAATACTTTGTAATTTTTCTCCCTCTCAGTTGGCTAAAAGGGCTTCCCATCATTAACCCCAAACTTTCCGTGTTAATTATTATAAGATGTTGTAGCCAATTTCCTTTTTCCTCCTATGACCTTTTCCAGATTTTTCATTTGCAGTTGAAGTGTGATGCTATATCAAAGCAAAGTGGGCTGCTTATAAACTGTCTCATAATGCTGAAAATACTGTCTGGGCGATTTACCATTTAATTATGCCTTGTATAGCCAATATGATTTCTGAGTTTCGTTGATCTCCGTTTTCCTATTTATTGCTATCTCTTGATTTCTGCCCCCCTTCCAATTAAGAAAGTGTTTTAAAAACATAGTGCCTTTCATGATTCGTTATGTGCCATCAAGTTGGAAGAGGCTTATAGCAATCGTAATAGGGTTTTCAGGATGAGTGAGATATTTAAGGAGTGGTTTTACCACTTCCATTCCCCCAATGAGTTTCCATGGCCAGGTGGGTATTCAAACGCTATTCTCCAGAGTCCTAGTCCATCACTCTATCCACTACACCACACAGGGTATCCTATTGATCTTGGAAGAAATACTGGCATGAATAACTCTATATATTCTGAATTATCTTGGACATGGAGCCACAGACATTCTCAACTTTTTAATAAATACCTCTCAAAAGGAAAATGTATATTGAATATATGGCACATGGACAGCATACACCCAAAATAACATTCCACCTGAATCCCATTTTGACACATTAGAAAGCAGGTGGTCGTTAGCTTTTGTTTCGGCCTCTAACCGTTTTAAGGCAAACATGGCTTTGACTCAGAAAAGCCACGTTGGATCAAATTTATCATATTTCCCTACGATGCTCGCAGAATAACCAACCTGGAGGCACATAAGCAGAATTTTAGTGTACTAATCCCAAGTGGAGTCTCACTTTAGAAATCCAAGGCTTTGCATTGACTAGTGTGGTGGAAAATGAACATCAGATTATAACTTGAAAAAGAAACAAATGACCGAACAGAATTAAAACAGGCATTAGATGAAAACTCCCAAATTTAAGTTTTGAACTCAGAGTGAGAGGGAGATATTTTCATGGGGTGGAAGGTATTGCATCACAGTGGCATCCGTCAGAGAGATGCCCCCACACCAAGTACGTATATTCAGAATTAAGCTACACTGATTTCAATAGGACTTAGTTTCAGGTAACTGTTTATAGCATTTCAGCCTACCACTAGTTGCCAATGAATGAAAGGAAAAAGGGGAGAGATCCCCCAAATCTCAAATATTTAAGTAACAGTTTGACTCCTAGTGGTCTTTGGCATAAGATTTAGATGTGGCTTCATTTGAAGTTATCAATAAATGGTGCCCTTTTAAAAGTAAATAAGCAAAATAAGTGCTATTTTTCTGCGATGATTAGACATATTTATAACATGCCTTGGGATAAAAGCAAATGGCCCTTATTCAGTTGGCTTCTTATTCCTCAGTCACAACTGGCTTCCTGCTCAGACTTGATCCCATGCCAAATTAATCACGGCCAACCATGTGCGTCTCCTTCGGTCGATCGATTCGGAAGAGATACTCAGCAGGCACGAAATACCCCAGGTACTCGACAGTTTCGGGAGTTGTGTCTGTGTGATAATGTCCTCCTTCGCCATGGTGGCTGAAACAATGGGTATGCTCCACACGCAGATCAAAGCCCTTGAGAATAAATGAAGAAATAATACACCCGGGTCCAAGGAACTCTGCAGAATCTATTTTTCGTATCAAGAAAGCCAGCTCTAAACACTTTGCGGCCTGAGGTGAAAAAAACAAATTCAGCCCCCCCTCCCCGTTTCAGGTCAAAATGCCTCACATCCATGACCAAGTTATTTTAGCAGCTGAGGGAGAAAACCTTTCAAGACCTCCTCCCTCTCCTCAGCAGTCAAATGACACAAAGAAAATATTAAATAACTATTTGTTTTCCTTTCATAGCATACCAAATCTGCTGTAGGCAGGTATCTTATGGCACAGTGGTTAAACCGCTGTATTGCATTGTTACCTGCTGTCAAGCCGCCTCTGACTGATGGCAACCCTATGAAGGAGCAATCTCTAATATATCCTGTCCTGAACAGCCCTGCTTGTAAACTCAAGCCTGTAGTTTACTTTAGAGCAGGGGTGTCCAACCTTTCACCTTCCCTGGGCCACATTAGAAGATGAAAATTTGGTTTGGGCCACATGGGGGGGCAGCCCTAGCCATCCTCTGCAGCTCTGCTCCAAGCGTGCTTACCGGCAGCTGCGATCTCAGACAGCAGAGGCTGCCAGCTTTGACTCCGGCGGCTTTATGGGGCCAGGAGGGGGTCCACCTATTGACGGGGACGGAGCAATGTAGTCACGCAGCCCCCCTGTCCCCTCCCCTCCCACTCCTTCCTTCCCTCTCTCCCCCTCTACTGTTGTGATATGGCCCGGCTACATTCCGGCTGCAAGCGCCAGCAATGTAACTTGAAACTTTGGAATTCTCTTCCGTAAGAGAAGGAAGAATCAATAATTGTATCATTGACCTGATATTGGACGGTATGTAGAATGAGATGGGCAGGCATTGGGAGGCTACTATGGGCAGCTATGTCTATCCTGACTGAAGTGCACCCGGTGTATAGGATGACCCCCCCACTTGGAGGCATGTTTTTTAGGGCAAAAAGTAGTCTTATACGCCAGCAAATACAGTAACTTGTAAACCGCCCAGAGAGTGCTTGAAGCACTATGGGGCGGTATATAAGCAGCACGCTTTGCTTTTTGCTTGTTCTGCCCAATGGCCATTGCAAAGCTTAGAAATATTACTTGGAAAAACCATTAGCTGTGCTTGCTGGGGAACTCTAGGAGATGATGTGCTCCTACAAAGTGGCGCTTCCTGATTGTGCTCCAATCCTTCTTACTATAAAATTCTGAAGTATGAGAAATCAATATGCAGAAATGCCATGTGGTGTTCCTTTTGCTGAGATGTAATGTTTTAAGTCTGCAAGCAGAGAGTCAAATGTGAAAGTGGCTGCAAATGAAGTAGCAAACATGTGAACTTGAGCATGCCAGCAAGAGGAACGGAAGGCTGATAATGTAAACTCATATTGTACATGACAGTAGTAGTGCACAGAAGTACTGTATTTCCAGATCTTAAGCACTGTTTTTGACATGTTTTATTTTTGCAGTTAGAGGCTCTTCACACATGCCATCGTTGTTGTTACCTGCTGTCAAGCCGCCTCTGACTGATGGCAACCCTATGAAGGAGCAATCTCTAATATATCCTGTCCTGAACAGCCCTGCTTGTAAACTCAAGCCTGTAGTTTA